CCACGGTCTGCCTTCCTTTGGAAGAGAAGTCCTAAGGTTTCTTGTTTGGCTTCTGCTCCAGCTAGCTGACCTCTGGTAACGTTCTGAACCTTCTGCCCTGAGCCAGTCTCTTACATCTTCCCTCTACCCCCTCCCACCACCTGCGCATCCCGTCCCCAGTCTAGCCCTGCCCTTCCTTCCTCCTCCCCCATCCTCTGCACACAGCGGCATCGACGACAGCATGGACAGTCCTCTAATGACTGTTATGGGGCCACACATCCCCAGTTCCCGGGCTTGTGGCTGGCCTCGGTCACCTCTCACACACACAGCTGATGATGGAGGGCGTACCCCCAGCCCAGGGTGTCATGACCCTCCCGGCCCACGGTCTCAGCGCCGCGTGAAGCATCCCACACTAGCACAGCAGAGCCAGCAACTATGTTACGAAGGGATTCTAACCTTAGAAGCAGAGACGGTGAGATTCTTCCCTTGCAGGCCATGGGGAAGTTGCCCCAAATATCACCGGAGTGGGCAGGAGTGAGGACCGGGGAATACCTGCCCCAGCTGGAGCCTCCTCTCGCCATGTCACATCCCGGGCCAGACAATCTGGCCCAGCAGAGTGGGCAAGAGTCTCCCAGTTTTGATTCTCCTCTCTGGGAGAATGACTTGTGCCCTATCGACCTCACAGAGGGGATGTTAAGACCAAAGAAGAAACTCCATAAGGAAGGGCTCTCTGGGCTGTGACGCTCTCGGCAGGGTCGGGTCCCGCTTCTGAGAGACGTCCAACAAGCATCTGACACCAAGGACCATGGGCATCAAAAGGGCACTATTACAACCCACACGTCCTGGAGGAGACTTCGGGCAGCATCCAAAGTCCAAAGGACTCCCTTGTCCGATAATTCGGGCCCAACTTGAGGTGTGACGGTTGCTATGTCATGGCACATCCCAAGCCTCCCTTGCTTCCAGTGAGGGATGGGACTCTACTTCCTAACATCGCCTCCAGTCCCGCTTCCTGCCACGGCCTCCTGCCCACCCTCCTCGTCCCCGTCGCCCACCTTGGAATCTAGATACTGCTGAAGCAGCATCTGGAGCTCTGTGTTCTGCTTCTCCAGGGAGTTGTTTTCTATCAGCAGCTTGGCCCTCTGCGTCAGGACGAGGCTTTGGGCGGAAAAATCCATTAGAGGCTCATCGAACCCTCCAAATCTACCAGGCAGGGGCCAGGATCTCTATGTCTCTGTGCCGATTGGAGCTGGGAGAGGAGCCCTGAAGCTTCACCCACCCGAGCAACCTTCCTGCCCCCAACACACCGGGCTAGGAACCGAATAAGGAGCGAGGGGCCAGCCACCCAACGCCACATGACCCCCCAACAGGAGCTTTCCCTCCAAAGACAGCTTTTGTCTCCAAGCCAGGGGGGTGGCAAATGTGGCCACCGCAAGCAGGATCCTTCTCCACCAACTGCCTGGCTCCCTCCTTCTCCTGGGCTGTGACCTACACACTTACTGGTATTTCTCCAAGGCCGTGTACAGAGCGTCCCAGAGGTTCTGCGTGGCGTAAGGGAGAACCGTGGCCAGGGCCTCCCAATACGCAGAGTCCTTCGAGGTGTCTCGCACATACTTCACCACCTTCACTGGGGCCGGGGGGTCCCTGGGAGTTAAGAGCAGCAGTATCGTCACCCCCACCTGGCACCCCCCAGGCTCCCACGCAGCGCCAGCCACGGTGCCTGTCCCTCCCGGGCTTTCTGCCTGCAGACCTGTCCCCTTCCCACTCAGCTGTGCGAGTGTCTCGGTTTACGGCTGATTCTCAGAAAGTGCACATACCTATCATCAGTGTTCCTGATTCTGGTGCCATTGTCACCTTTGTGAAAGCATCACTGGGGTTCTATCCACCCCCCTTCTCTCAGCCAGTTTACCTCATTGGCTTTACATCCCACTACGATGCCCGTTTCCTTCACTAGTGCATCCAAACGGCTCTCAAATTCCGGCATCCCCTCGAGGATAGCCTTGACCCAGGATATCAACGCCTCCACCTAGACGAACCTTCCGGCTGCTCTCCTTGTATCCAGCGTCACCCCCATCCCTGCCACCAAATGGATCTTTCTAACATGCAAGCCTAATCATGGCTCTCCCACCGCTTAAGACCATGTTGTGGCTCCGGTCCACCCAAGAGTAAAGGCAAAGGTCCTGGCCATGGCAGGCGCGGCTCTCCAAGATTTGGCCCGGCTCCCCTACCCACCGGTCCCACTTCCCAGGGAAGACCCTGACACCAGCCACACCTCTGCCACGATTCTCGAACACACCAGGCCTTTCCCCACACTGTGACACCTTGAAATGTTCTCTCCCCCACTGTATCCATGTAGGAAAACCCGGTTCTGGTGCGTCTCTTCCTAAAGCCCTCTCTGACTGCCGTTGGTGACACCTGGTATAGGCTCTGACCATGGTTCCGATCACAAGGTGTGATCTCCACGGGCTGACACAGTGCAGACCCCAGTGAATGGCCGTGGAATGAACGACGAATGAGAAAATGCAAATCGCTTCTACGCCCCTTCCTTTCATCTGTGTCCACTGATGCCTCCAGCCCTCCCCATCCCTTTCCTCCTGCCCATGTGCTTGCCCCACACTGGGATCTTCTCGGCCCGGCCCAGCCTGGCTTCCCCAGGCCTCGGGCAAGCCCTCCAGCACCACACCTGGGCTTCCTCAGACCCATGACAAAGGCCTCCAGGATCTTGAGGACGTCGTTGGGGTGGATGAGCATGGGAGAAGGGGGGACCTCCTTCTCTTCTGGCTCCCCTCCCACAAGGCTTCCCTCCTTCTGTCTCTCGAGGTCTGTCTGCTCTCCTGGGTCCAGGGCTGACATCGGGCTTGTTCGCTCCTGTGGGAGTGAAAGATTCCAGGGGCTGATCTGGAGAAAGGCGCCAGGGTGACTATGGATTGGGGCACTCAACAAGCCTAAGTGTATGAAGACAGAAAAAAAAAAAAA